TGTATTTTGTTTTGTTTTTAGTGCATTTTGTTTTGTTTTAGTGTATTTTGTTTGGAAGTCGGTTTTGTTTTTTTATTAAAAAGTTTATTTTATTAAACACGTTATCTTAAGTGTTAGGTGAATAACATTTTTCATACAAGATTTTGTATAATAAATATACAACTGAATGATGCAATGTAAAAAATATTTTTTCGTTACTCGAACTAAAACTATATAGTTATTTAAACCTCGTTTGCAAGTAATCAAGTAATATGGGGCTACTAAACTGACTATCACTTTGTTGCTGGATTCGCATACATTTTCGTCGTGTTTATTGAACGGGAAGCAATTTCCTCCTTCACCTGTATACGGAAATAAACCTATCTTCTAACTTTATTTTTATTTTGAATAAAATAAAATAAAACCCGAAATAAATAAAGCATGCAGTTTACATATCATATAAGCATTAATAGATAAATTTTGTTATCTACATTTACATTTAAAATAAATTTTACATATTCTTCGAATATTTTTTCGCTATTTTCAATTACATTTTCGCTTCATTTATGTTTCGCTTTCGCATTGTACTTATACTATCGTAGGACAACGCTGTTTCCCTCCAACAAATTTCACAAGAAACAAATAGGGCGCTTGGCGACTAAACGACTCCACTTCGGAATAACAAACAAACCATTCATTACAAGAAAACAGTTGAAGCAACTTTTCTACATTTATTTTGTTCAAATAATTTTACATAAATATTAATCGATTCTTCTGATTTTTAAGATATTAAGAGTTTTTGCTCTTCAACAATTAATTGGGTGTAGTTATAGAGCTTTCAATTTAATATTCCATTTGCAGCAAACCAAATATAAAAGGGTATTTGTTGGTCCAATTAGTTAAGGGTATCCACTCAATCTCCGTCCGCAGAGCAATGAGTCTGCTCGTATTGATTTTAACAAAGATGGATTTGTGGTCCTCAATTCAGACAAATATGTTAGGCCTAAATCCTTAGACAAGAGATTCAAATGTTACCTTAAACATAAATCAAACCTTTTGTATTGTGACGGATTGCACAGAGTTTTGATAAGTCATGGGAACGCAGACTTGTGAAATACGATATAGAACAGACACTAACTACATTTTTTAGAGTATAGCTAAAGGTTACTGAAACAATCCGATATACGGTGGAATACTGAAACGCTATTAAATTATAACAGAGTCTTGATAATACCACGATTAAACTTTAAATTGGTTTTATATTTTGACGTCTATCAGATTGTAAGCAACGAGGCGAATACTGAATCGTTAATGTGGCTTTATACAATGTAACATTGGGACAATAGGTTGTTTTTTAAATAGA